GGATACTCTCCTTCAGCATCTCCAAGGGGTCGAAGTTGTTTTGGTCAATTCCCAAGGCCGATGTGGTCAGGAATCCTCCTGCCAGCCCTTCTCGCTACCGTCAACGCCGATGGGCACGAATCCCTGCTTGCAGACCGTGCTGCAGTAGCTCCGCGTCTCGTTGCCAGTGGCGAGATGGGTCAGGGCATCGGTCAAGTCGTAGAACTTGCAGCGGTCAAACAGCTCCTTGGGCATGTTGTTCTTGAGCCACAGGATCTTGGGCATTTCCATCTCAATGCTCATGCGACCGCCGACGTACTTGAGTAGGTTATGATCAGTGGCATTGATCTTTTCGGTCTCCTCTACGGGTCGGTGGTCCAGCCACAAGACGACGTTGCGATCGGCGCCGTCGGCATTGTCGAAGGAAGGACCGGTGACGGCAATGGGTTCGTCCGTGTCGTGACTGAAGACGGCCAGCGAGCAAGTGGCGTCGAACCCAATGCCCTTGATCTTGGAGACGTCGACGCCGGACTCCTCAACAACGCGCTTGACACAGATGCAGATGCAGTTCCAGATGTCAGTAGTTGATTGTTCCTACGCTTTGTTAACGGGAAAGTTCTGTGCTATGCAGCCTTCGCTGCTTGAGGCAGTAGAAGAGAGGGCTGCTCACGTAGTAGCCTGTCTGGGGCTGCCACAGCTTGATGGTCTCAGAGGCCAGCGACTTGATGTCGCCCGTCTCGTCAATAATGCAAGCACGGGCAGAGCCGGTACCAACGTCAATGCCGATGAAGTGGTTGTTGGTGTCGTGGCGGGCTTGCGCGCCTGGACGCTCCCAGTAAGAGCCACGGGACTCGAGGGTCGGGCGCGGGGCGCTGTGTCATGTTAGCACCAAAGGTTGCTTGTGAGGTCCAAGGACGAGCTCAATAGAGCCATCGCAGGTGACTGACTTCAAAGAGGCCATGGCGACGGGAAGTAGCACAAGGCTACGGGCGAAGGTCCTCGTGGGGAGGTGACTTGGAGGGGTAGCTTGGAGGGGTAGCTCGCGAGTCGTGGGCAGGGTCGATTGCTGATCGAGTTCAAGGGGTTTTCAGCGCCGTCTCGGTCAAGGTGAAAAGGCAGGGGAAGAAAGAGGAGGAAGAAAGACAGAAAGAAACAGGCAGGAGCTCGGGGGGATCCTGCTAGTTGTAGCAGCGGCGTGAAGATCGTGAAGTACCGTCTCTGGTCTCTGGCGTCCGAACGGTCGGGGCGGCGTCCAGACGGCTTAGACCTAGACGGTGGAGATGGGTGACAGGGTGAGCAGTGACGGTGGCCCCGAGCTCCCAGTGCCCCTCCACACCTCGCAGCTCCCAGTACTCCATCAGGGTCTCGTCGGTCAATCAAGCCAGCGAATTGGGGTGGGGAACCCGGGAGAGCCTGAAGCCATGGCTTCTAGGCGCATGGTGCCACAGCCTGGCACGATCGTGTTTGTGTTGCATTGGAAGCATCGAGGTGTTGTATCGACTCCTCATTTTCTACAGAAAAGCATATACCGGCTCTAATCCGACAGCTCCTATGCCTTGGTCACGCAAACTCTTTACCCCTGGTGGCTTGATGTGCCGTGCAGCGGGAGCCAGGGACAGCAGATCAGGTTCTCAGCCGCAAGCGTCACCGTTCGCTCCGCCACTACTGCGTGCCCAAGATGTAGGCAGGCCTGGTAGGGACAATGTCCAGTCAGTGCCTGATGCGCCGACAGCCCGAGACCGGCCCTGGCGGAACGGCAAGCGCACTGGACGGTGGCTTCCCAGGCAAGAGCAGGCAAGGCAGGTTCGTTCCAAGCTCAACGGAGGGGGCAAAGGGGCGAAAAAAAGGGACCCTTGTGGCAAAACACCAAAGGAAAAACACACTCGCTGTCTGAAATCCGACCTTGGACCCCTCCACCCACCCCCTCCACCGCAACCCCACAATACCCATGCCCACCAGCTCCAACCCCCCCACGTATTCTATCCTCCTTCAAGCACCCCCCAAGCGCTTTCTCAGCGTATGCGACCGCTCCAGCCCTCCATGCCCAGCCTGGACGCCGCGCCGCCTGCAGCTACGCTGCAACTAGAATCCATCTCATCGGGATCATCTCCCCAGCAAGAAACTCGCAACATGAACTGCTGGACACGCTAATCCTACCTGCGGCGAGACAACACGCACTCCAAGCGATCTTCTTCTTCGTCCCATGATGCAAGTCATCTCGGGAAACCGAGGCAAATTTCTGACCGCCTCTGTCTATGACCAGGGATTTGATATGATAGGGCAATCTCCTCGAGGTTGCAGAACTCCTCCAATCTCGGTCCTCTACCAGAATAACC